AACAATAAAAGATGAAAGAATAGTTTAAACATTAAATCATTGTTTTGAAGATGTTTGTCTTTATTCCTTTGCTAGCTTCCAATAATTGAATAGAGAATATAACTAAAATCAGAACTTACAAACTAATCGGAGGATTGTTTTTCCAATGAGTTTGTTGTCTTATGACTCATGCCGTGGTATATTTTGATAGTAGCTTTAGGCATCTCAATTCTTAATTTGCATAAAAATCACTTGACAATTATTCAGAAGAATCAGAGCTCTTTAAATACAGTGGAATTTAATTATATTTCTTATGGGATTATGCTTGAGAAAGAAGATATTTTCATAATATTATTAAAGACTACAGTAGTATGCTATGTAAGTTTAAGTGATTGATGCCTATTCCCTCAGCTATGAAAGTGTGAGGCATAATTCTATACCAATGTGTAAGGGTTTGGAGTATTCCTTGTACTCCCATTAATATATTTTTGCTTATCAAAAGGAAAAATAATAATAACTTCTAATAAATATAAGCTACTATTCCATTTAATTCCTATATATTCAAAATCATAATAAAATCCTAATAAATATATTATTTCCTTATCTGTGTCAGTAACTACAGCCATAGAGTGTCAAAAATAAAAACTATGTTAAGCAACTTAGCTTGGAGGACTACCCTTTTACTAATACAAATTTCTTTGGTGCCCAAGTTGCTGACACAGGTTATGTGGGTGGGTCAGTGTCTTTGATCTTGACAGGGACCAACTGGTGTGTTAATATAAAACATGTATGAGCTGAGTATTTAACTGCTTTTCACCATGCTGATTGGCAGATTGGCTGATTGTTGATTCATAAGTGTCGATTATTGTTCATTGTGAAGATTAAATAACATGCACTTTGATGCATATCTTATTTTCTTTATGCAGCTACTGGCCAACATTTCCTCAGATATTCATTAAGGGAGAGTTTATTGGGGGTTCAGATATAATTATGAATATGCACCAGGTTAGTTCTTACTTCTTTTTGCTGTTCTTCAGTAAAACCTCTACGTCAATCACTTTACCATTATGCTCTTGCTCTAATTTCATGCTTGTTCTTTGTAGGGTGGTGAACTGAAAGAAAAGCTTAAGGATATTGGTGCTAAGCAGAAGGCTGAATAATTTGATTTTTGATCACTTGAGTAAGTCATTGGTGCTTTTTTAATAGTCCATTGTTCTTTTTATATGTAGTGAGATGGAAAGTTGTCAAGTTTATTTAAGAGTTGTTTAGGCCTTTCATTGTTGTACCATACATGTGGCATCCTTTATAAGAGAAATAGACTTAATAATCACTTGGTTGGTCCCATTCCCGCTTAGGCAACTTCTTTTCCAGATTTAAGAGAAACAGACTTTGTTTAGTAACTTTCTCAATAGATCCATGCCTTGTTGGCTTAACATGCCATCATTAGACTTAAGAGTTGTTTATGGTCTTACTCCTAGTTTCTAAGAGGGTGAGATTTTAGTGCTAATTAAGTAGTAATACATAAAAGAGGCTTGTAAGGGATTTTCCTGTACCTTTTAAGTGGTACACATAAGACGAATAGCAGCTGCTTGCTCATGTGGATTACTACTAGAGGACTTGTTTGTTTTGTGAAACTCTAAAGAGTCGATGTACCTAAGAATTTGTTTACAAAGCCTCATAATTATAAGGTACTTTCATCTAACCTTAATAAGTTTCCTGTATGAATCAAGCATGTATTCTTAGTTTAGTTTCAAAAACCCAATATATACTGTAGATAAATATTTTATTTGAATAATCGATAAATTGACGAATTATTTTTAAATTAACTATATGGGAGTCAGATGCCTAGTGTAACATTAGAAAAACATCAACTAATGGTATAACATCAAAATATTAAGATTCGTCTAACAATTTATGCGCTACCGTCGATACATGAACAAGAGTATTGTTTTGCAATGGAAGAATAATTGGGTCTCTTTGGGACATCTTAATAGTTAAAATTTTAAATTTTCATGTTAAAACTTTTGAGTTTGAATTTTAGGATGGGTGGAGAGGAAAAGGTTATTTAGTCTATCCCTTATTGTATAATCAATTATTCGATGTACAAAAAAAATAAATAAAGAACAATTGGATTATTAGGGATAGGGGGCTCAGTCTCATCTAATGGGGCACTAAGAGTGCCTAACACTTTTTTATATAAGCAAAGAGGAAAGCAAAAGATATTAACAGTAACAAATTAACAGGAGACCAAAAAACAATATGGAATTTCTGAACACTTGTTAATATTCAATATCCATCTCACATTTTGGTATTTTTCATAATTTTCATATATAAATGCATTAGAGGACAACAAAAAGAAATCAAAAGAACATCTAAATATCTAATAACAAAGGCTATTCCTACTACTCAAGTTTCTCAGTGCCATTCTATGTTCATCATCTGCTATATGACGTGCAAGTCGTAGATCTTTCATCTTCAGTTCTTCTTCCCAACTAACATCTGAAGAGCATGTAGCTCTGATCCATGGACATCTAGATCTCTTTTGAATTCCACATTTGCCAATAAAGGATTTGGACGCAGTGGAGTTGATGATGATGCCTTAATCTTCTTAGCAGTCACAGCATTGTCGGCAGCCTCACGGTCAGGTTTTCTTTTCAGCACTTTTTCAAGCACTAACCATTTACCGTCTTCCCAACGCCGTCGAGCTCTCAGATGGGATTTGGGTAAAATGAGATCGGCAGTGCACCCATTCAGCTTAACAGAAAATCTGTTCACACCTAAAACCTTCTGAACCACCGCCTCCTTCCAGTAGGGATTGTCGAACGCCTCAACGAGATCGCCAGACACCCACTTCCTGGACACTTCAAGTGGCGGAGGAATGGGTCTAAGAGCCATTCTAGGAACCCGGTGTAATATTCCCTCCCTCTT